TTTTCACTTCAAAAAATTCTTTAGATAGTGACAATGAACAATGACAATACCAAGAAAATTGCTAACCATAATGACAATCGACAGATGTCATTAGATGGTGACAATTGAAGAGGAGACTTCAATTCTGTGAAAATGAAAAGCTATACCTTGCATAAATCTATCGAACTTTCGAAATATCGGACTATGAAGAATTATCGGACTATGAAGAATTGAATTTCTGATATGACATCAAAACAATTGAAATCATATTTAGTACTTGGTTTGAACTTTGGTCATTGAACTTGAAAGTATTCAAGAACCAAAAGGACTTCATTTCATGTCAAACCATATCGACCAACCTTAGGAATTAGCAAATAAATTGTTACTTAAGGTCACCGTCAAAGACATGTAACAAACTACCGTAATTATAAAATAAAATAAATTTATTTAGGACAACAAATAAACTTATCTAATATTATTATCTGATGTTATGCTTCTGATGAAAATAAGCTTGCAAATTTGTATCAAAGTTGTCCAAATTTGGCTAATCAACCTTCTAATTTGACATTTGTAATCTATTAAGCAAATACGGCTATAGAGTTTGTTATTTTGCGACAAATTATTAACACTTTATGATCTCGTTGATTGTAGAGTAGACATTTAGCTTTTTGCCTTGATTTTTTTTCTTTAATATTTTTGGTTGTTTCACAAATACTATGATAAACATTAATTGGATGTGAAATTTCGTTGTTGCTCAAGTGTGATCCTTGAAATTCTTCCAAGATATGATGTTTGTGTTCGAGTGCGAGAATGCAAATGTTTGTTTTTATGCACCCGTTATCACGAGTTATCTTCTCCTCGTCCTATTTCATCATTTCCTGCAACATGCTATTGGATTTATTTTGTCACATACTTGGATTATGATTCTATAATTGAAATCATAGCCTACATAATATTTTTTTTATTTCTTAAATTTTATTTAAATTTTATTCTATTTTATTTTTTTCCAACTAATTTATGTCAACTTAAGTTTTTTTTTCTATTTTCTTTTGATCATTTATTATATCAAAAGATTTTATGTGTTAGACTGTTTGTTTTCTTGAAACTAATTTATGTACTTGTTATGGTAAAAAAAGCATCCTCTTATTATTTATTGGGGAAATTTACATACCTAGCACACAAATCTTTTGTATTAACATATATCACATTTAAACTCTCATATTTACATGCATAGCACTTTGGTCTTTTAAAACTATGCATGAAAAGGTGTATTTCATTTTTCTTAATAGTGCCACATTGAGCCAAATTAAGCGCTTTAAAAAGCCAATAATAATATATATATAGAAGAAATAAAGCTAAGCAAAGAATTTATAGAAATGTGAAATCTATGCCTCAAAATCAGTTTAAGTTGAAGATTTATATCGTAGTTATGCGGTCAAATTAGCACCACTCAAGTAGGAATCACTCCCTAAATTTGCACACAAAATAGAAAACTGTAAGAAGATATTCTTATTCAACCAAAGAGAATTAGTTTGCCTCATAACAACTATTTATGAACTACTCATTCATGAGTGAGTGGAGGTGACATAACAACTATTTGCCCAAGCTAATTCTAAATTGCCTTCAAATTTGGTGCTCAATCATACATAGCAATTAAAAAATTTTAAGTACTTGCTTCAAATAATTTATGAGTAGCTCACTTCCGTGAATTTTGTTCCTAAGCAATAACAATAGCTATTGATAGTGCTAAGATTTATATCTTATTTAAGAGTGCTAATTATAAATATAAAGAAATCTAGGGAGTTATTTATAAAATATTGTGAGCTCCTCTGTCAGCCCAAGAATTAATGAATATAACATGTCTTTCACTTCAAAATAATTCCTTATGGAATGAGTGCCTAACAACTGATCGGTGTGACTTCGCGGGCAAATTGTTCTTCGCGAAACACGTTTTTCACTTCAAAAAATTCTTTAGATAGTGACAATGAACAATGACAATACCAAGAAAATTGCTAACCATAATGACAATCGACAGATGTCATTAGATGGTGACAATTGAAGAGGAGACTTCAATTCTGTGAAAATGAAAAGCTATACCTTGCATAAATCTATCGAACTTTCGAAATATCGGACTATGAAGAATTGAATTTATGATATGACATCAAAACAATTGAAATCATATTTAGTACTTGGTTTGAACTTTGGTCATTGAACTTGAAAGTATTCAAGAACCAAAAGGACTTCATTTCATGTCAAACCATATCGACCAACCTTAGGAATTAGCAAATAAATTGTTACTTAAGGTCACCGTCAAAGACATGTAACAAACTACCGTAATTATAAAATAAAATAAATTTATTTAGGACAACAAATAAACTTATCTAATATTATTATCTGATGTTATGCTTCTGATGAAAATAAGCTTGCAAATTTGTATCAAAGTTGTCCAAATTTGGCTAATCAACCTTCTAATTTGACATTTGTAATCTATTAAGCAAATACGGCTATAGAGTTTGTTATTTTGCGACAAATTATTAACACTTTATGATCTCGTTGATTGTAGAGTAGACATTTAGCTTTTTGCCTTGATTTTTTTTCTTTAATATTTTTGGTTGTTTCACAAATACTATGATAAACATTAATTGGTTATAATAAAAATTTATTGGATGTGAAATTATTTTGTTGCTCAAGTGTGATCCTTGAAATTCTTTCAGGATATGATGTCTGTGTTCGAGTGCGAGAATGCAAATGTTTGTGTTTATGCACCCGTTATCACGAGTTATCTTCTCCTCGTCCTATTTCATCATTTCATGCAACATGCTATTGGATTTATTTTGTCACATACTTGGATTATGATTCTATAATTGAAATCATAGCCTACATAATATTTTTTTTATTTCTTAAATTTTATTTAAATTTTATTCTATTTTATTTTTTTCCAACTAATTTATGTCAACTTAAGTTTTTTTTTCTATTTTCTTTTGATCATTTATTATATCAAAAGATTTTATGTGTTAGACTGTTTGTTTTCTTGAAACTAATTTATGTACTTGTTATGGTAAAAAAAGCATCCTCTTATTATTTATTGGGGAAATTTACATACCTAGCACACAAATCTTTTGTATTAACATATATCACATTTAAACTCTCATATTTACATGCATAGCACTTTGGTCTTTTAAAACTATGCATGAAAAGGTGTATTTCATTTTTTAAATATGATAATAATGCTATTTTTGATGTGGTATTAAAAGTTGAGTGCTATGTGTTTAAATATGAAAGTTTAGGTGTGAGATATGTAAATACATTAAATTTGTGGGCTATGCATGTAAATACCCCCTTTTTTTTAATTTTTATAATGACATTTGTGTTAGATTGTTTTAAGAAAACCCTATAAATTTATGTGTTTTGCATCAGCAACAATGTTTGATAGAAGAGAAGATTAGTTTCTTTTTATATAGTTGTCATTATCTGATTTTGTCTTTTGGAATTTCATGTTCTACTCAATGTCTTATTATACTTTTTATTTAGAGTACCTAAAATTGTTATTACTGACCATTTAGATTTTGTTTATAAATAGGGGTGTAAACGAGCCGAACACCAGCTAAGCCTCGTGTTCGGCTCGCTTATTCTCAGATTGGATCACTTTTAGTGTCATTTGGGTTGTATTCTCGAGGTGCTCAGTTTAACTATAAATTTGTTGAAATTAGGTCTTTGATGATCCTGAATTCAAACTTCGAAGATCTCTTACCAAAACATAATGAAAATTCGTCTCAGACGATAGAAATTTCTTCCCGCGATATGTCGCCAGGAAATTTTTATGCTTTGTTAGAGAAATGATTATTAATTCCAAATAATTAGAGATAATGTGTAACATAAGTTAATATTTTATTTTCATATTAGAGTCTCTTTAATTACTAGTTTCTTTTTATCAGTTGCCTATCTATGATCCATTTATTTATAGTCAAATCTAACAAATTTTTAGTCAAATTGAATGTCTTAATGAGATGAATCCAATGAGACTAACATCACTCTATTTTGACATCTTTAGTACACTTAAATGCTCAAATATAACATCATCCAATCAAACAAATATTCTGGGCCGTCTGATGAAACGGTTCTGATTTATGCAATGTTTACGGAGCATGTCACCCACAAAATTTATAAATAGACATTCACTGTTTTCATGCAAGGGACTTGGACCCGGAAGAGGAGCAAGTATTAGGTGCATGCTCATTTTATTGTATTGGTTGTATTGATACAACTAGAGCTGTAAAAGAGTCGAGATTGATCGAGCTCAAACTTGACTTGTGTTTGACTCATGTTCGAAATTTGCTCGTGAAAAGTGTGTTCGTGTTTGATTTGATTTAAATATTCATGTTCATGTTTTGCTCGAAATTGGCTTTTTAAAATTAAGCTGAAAAAATAGATGTTGAGTGTTGAATTCGAACCTGAACCAAATGTCTGCAAAACAAAGTGCATAACCACATTACCAGAAAAGCAATTACAATTTAAATTTAGATTAAATATATAAAATATATATTTATATAAATAATATGTGTAATATATTTTTATATAAATAATTATATAATTTTTTTTTTATTTCGAGCTAAAAAACGAATCCAACACGAACTCATTGACGAACACGAACTCCTTAACCAGCCGAACACGAGTTGTTCGCGAACTACGAGCTTTTTTGACAGCCCTAGCCATATATGTACGTAAAACTTGAATTTTAGGTGTATCAAATACATAAGAGTTGAGTGGTATGCATGCAAATGTTCCTTTTTTTTTGTTATAAAGTTAATATACATTTAAGTGATTTTTCTATTGACATCATACTTAATCTTTGTGGCTCCATTAATGTTTTATTTAGAAGCCCTGCGAAGAAATCTCCGGAAAAGGAATCAATAGACGATGATATTAATAAATTTTCTTAATAAGTTCCTTTGGATGCTGCATATACTTTCATAATAATTCGATTTATCTGTTCATCTCACCTAATTTTTCGTTGGGTTTAGGAGGAAAAAATTACATCAGACGTCTCTTAGAGAACGTGCTTCTCTGCCAGAACCATTACCATTGGATTTTGTTGTGCATCCGCCATCAAAAGTAAATTGGGAAGAAGTACGTGCACGAGCTATTAGAGCAGCTATGAAAGCTAAGAAAGATAAGATGCGTCGAAAGGTTCATTTCTTTGCTTCTAACATACATTCTAGAATCTCAATCTTTTGACTAAATTATTTTACTCTTTAAAATTATAAAGTGCTGATTTTGTTTAGAAAAGATAAGGGTTAGACTATTAAAATGAATTAATTAACTGTATTAAGTTATTATAATTTTGAAATCTTAAAAATCATATCATTGTTTATTGTCTTACTCTCATGAAGCTTTATAATTATACATGCCTTCTATTTCACTTATTATAATTAGGGATTTTGTTGTCTTACTCTTATGAAGCTTTATAATTATACCTGCCTTCTATTTCACTTATTATAATTAGGGATTTTGAAGATTTTCTAATGTTCTTGTTCTATCAGAAGATTTTCTAATGCTCTTGTTCTATCGGATAATAATTCATTTACTTGCTTGTTCATCTTGAACCTTTTTTTTTCCTTAATTTTTTAGGGCTTTTACATACATACCACTGAATTCTTATTTATTTACATATCTAACCCCTAAATCTCTTATATCACATTAAAAATACTACTATTTAAACTTTTAAAAAATGAAATACATATTTTCATGCACAATTAAGGTGATATATATGTAGAAATTGAAGTTTAGGTGACATGTAAGAACATAGTAAGAACATAAGAATTGAGTAAATGTTCTCCTTTTTTACATTGAAAATATTTATCATTTATGTTAATACCTACTCATTTATTTAATTTATTATATTGATATACTTTAATTTATTATGTTAATTTATTATATTGATATACTTAAGTTTCCTTGCTTGTTTCACTCTCTTTTTGCAGCGTCGATGACCTTTTCCACCACCAGTTGCTCAAATGAGACGTCCTTTGTTTAAAGTGCAATCTTCGACGTACTAAAGAACCGCGTTCAAAAGTGAGCTTTTGTATTTGAAGATCTGCAGCTGATTGCTACACACACACACACACACAAATGTTGACGTAGGCTCATCTCAGAGGATTTGTTTTGAGATCAATATTTTTTTTCAAAATAATTTTTATATGTTTTTATTTTTTATTTCTAAAAATAAATTAAGATTTTTTAAAAAATATTCAAAATAATTTTTAAATACTTCGAGTTTTTTCAATAACAATTTTATTTTATTTTATCAGATATATTTTATTTTAAATTAAAATATAAACACAATACAATAGAAAAAATAGAAAATAAAAATGATCTCAAATAATCCTTTAATAATTAGAAAGTGTTAGTGCAACAAAAAAGTTAAAATCTGGATTCATGAGAACCAATTTTTCATGGCTTAGCTTTTATATTTATATCTTATGGGCTTTTTCTCAACTTTTTAAAGGCATTTTTTATAGCATAAATTCACAAATTTTTTTTAATTTTTAATTTTTGTTTTTTTTTAGATCCTCTCTTTTTATCGAGGATGTGGTTTGGAGTTGTTGCTGATTGAGGAGCTCTATTTTGACATTTGGTGTGCTCTTGCCTTCGTTGGGGAGATCTTTTCGTTGGTTATAGTTGGAAGGGTAAACTCTTTCGTCTTTGGTGATTGGTTTGCATTGTTGCTGCTTCCCAGTGTTCGTTGTCCTGTATGTAGTTGTTGTTTTGGCCCAATTAATGTTGGTGATTGGTGAAGTTGCTTGTGTCGGTTGTCGTCCATTCTGTTTCTGTTCTGATTATTAACCTCTTATTTATTAGTTTTTTGTTTGCTTATTTATTGTTTAGAGTTGTAATTCGAGTATTTGGGTGAGTTATTATTAAGTCTTTGAGTTATAATATAGTTGGGCGTGACCCTCATTTTCTCCCATAAATTTTTTTTAATGTCATATTGCTCATAATAATTCACAGCAGATGCCTATTTTCGGCTATATTTCACGCTACTCTCATAAAATTTATGTTTATTTACAATACTAACATTAGTTGCACCACATATAATGGATTCCTCAAAAAGTGCGAAAAATAAAAGAAATGTTCATTTACATGCATCGATACAACACCTAATGCATAAAATATTAGCACATCTTAGATTTATTTTTATATAGATTTTATTATTTTATCAGAGATTTTACCAAAATAATTTGTGTGTAAAATGGATGTATGTTTTGAAGATTGGTTTAATCTTATATATTAATTCTTCTATTAGTTATGTAAAAAAATAGATTAGTAGTATGCTATTTTATTATAATTGAGGTTAGTTTAGGTCTAATGTTCAAAGCCATATGAAATTATTCGTAAGGAATCAAACAACATCAAGCAAAGTTTTCAATAAATCTTCATAATGATTGAATATGAGAAGATTTAATTAAAGTATTATGATTTTAAGAAAGATCATAATTCATGTAAATAGTTATCAAATTTATTTTAAAATATTTTCTTTTTATTTGCCTTAATTTCCTAATAATATGCAGATATTTTTTTCTTTTTTTTTAATTAGTTATTTATTTTCAAATTTTAGATAAATTATCAATTCACGTAATTTATTTTTACTAATCTCGTCAACGCTCTTTCATCAAGCATTGTTCTTGTCACACAGTTTGTAAGTGAAACTCTATAATCATGTGTGATTAATGATTAATAGACGTCATCCTATCTTTATAGTTTAAACAAATAACTCTATTTAATTAAATTATATTTCAGGACTATGGTATACGTTAAATAAATGTAGTCAAAATATGCATAATGAGATTAAAAAAAAATTAAATATGATGGCTATGAAGTTGTTTTCTACCTTCAATAAACGAGAACTATCATCCATTGTTAGGGTTAAAGACAATCGGTAACTTTAAATCAAATTTAGTATATCGTGGCGCAATCTCTAAAAAGTGATCAAGCATGTTTCTGAGTCTTTGTCCGTATCTTATTTCCTCTGAAGGACTATTCAAAGGACTTTGAAAATTACATAGTAAATAAAAAAAAAGTACTCATGTGGCTTGTCTTTCTATTGTATTGCATACTTGAACGCTTGAAATGAATTTATTCATTTTCTTTCTATGGTTTGTCATGGAATCACTAATACAATATAAGCTCTTTAAGACTTAAAATTCTAAATTTGCCACAAAATTCTCATAAAATATTCAAGATAATAAAAAATTTTAGGATTAAAATATTCAATATTTTAAAATTTGTACTTTTACTTTTCTGCATAGCCTTCGGGCTAGATTTTAAATGGGCTGCATGTATGGTCATTTTTATAAATTAAATCTTATTAATTAGATTAAGTTAGATATATATATATCATTAATATTAAAATAAAGTTAACTTGAATCAAGAAGTACTCGGGAGTTATAGTTTTGAAATTGAGGAGAAAGTATATTGATTATTATGCGTTAATTTAATAATATGACGATAGATATAATTAAGTTATCTTTAGATAAGATTATTATAATAATTTGCACATTTAATTTATATAAGAAGTTGTTAAAGAAGTTGGTGGAAATGTATTTCAAAAGTCTCTTGTAAGAAAATATGAGTGATTATTTTTTAAGAGTGATTATTTTTTAAGCATTAAATTAATATTTTATTAACCGACTTTATTGAATGATTTAAAATAAGTATTTCAATCATGTATGACACTTAAAAGGTCTTAAATGATATCAAAAATAAGAGAAGGATGACATATATATGAATATATATCTTAAAAGATTTTAAATTGATATAAAATGAAATGAACATGTTAAGTCATACAGAATTACCCCCATATGGTGGCTAGTTAGTTGGAATGAAGGTTGTTTGTAGAAGTGCATTCAACCTTATTTAACCAATATAAGAGTAACTAAAGTGTATAAAATAGTTCATTTTGGCAATGATAGGTTGGGAAGGCTTCTGAATAAGGTTATGAGTAGACGACCTTATAGAATAAGCTAGAATTATTTAGCATACTGGATGGTTATTAAATTAGACACAAGGGATGGTGAGGATCAAACTAACCGAGGAAGGCGAGGATCAAACTGAAGGAGCAAGTGATAATAAAGCTTGATTTGTTTTAAATTGATTTAGTAACAGACTCAATTCAAATTATTCAGGGGGTAGCTCAATTCTTAGTCTTAATTTGATTTTGGTCATATGTTTCACTAAGTGCTTATAAGTTTGATTGTCAATTTATGTCTAATGGATCCAATTGAATTCGATTAGGTTTGTATACTTTTGCTTCAATTTGAAATAATAAGCTTGGCTTTAAACAAGCTTTAGGGTTCTCTTGGCCATTAGGAGATTAGGTTTTGCTTATAGTAGTCTAGGATCAGTTCAGTTAGGCTTAAACAAGCTGAAGTTGGCTGGTGTTATGTTAATTAGGAGTCAACAAAAGCCTTCTAAATTCATCAAAACTTAAATTAAATGATCTAATAGCTTTGGATAATGAATTTACTTTGCATTTGGTCCTCATTTATATCTATAGAGTAACTTAGGTTCTGTTATGTTAACTTAGAGTCAAATCATACTAAACTCAATACCTTAAAGTTACAGGGCTTGGCATTGCCACTGAGGTCTTTGGCTCCATGCCAGGATAGCCTCTGTAAATTAAGTTCAATTAGCCTAAACTAGATCATTTGATAATGATTTGAGTTGGCCAAACTTATTAATATAATTAATCTAACTTTGATAATATCAATCATAAAGAGCAATATTTATAGAAAACTTTGAATTATTTAATAAATGACAAATATAACATTGTAAGGACAAACATTTATGAGCAAACATGCTAATGATAAAACCAAAATACATTTTAATGCATCTCAATCTTAATTACAAAAAATAAAAATAAAAAAAATAATCGAGCCGAACACAGTTAAATATCACTTTGAGATAAGAATGGCTTAAATATGACTAAAATATAATTAATATAAAATACAAATGCTTTGAGATAAGAATGACAGTTATGGGTGTAAACGAGCCGAACACGAGGAGCCCAGGCTCAGCTCGTGTTCGACTCGTTAAAAAATACTATTATTTGTATTTGACTTGTTTGTTTAGCGAGCCGAACATGAGCCGGTCACGAACAAAGAGTCGTTTCT